TCTAATAATGCTAATAATGATCTGATGCCATATCGTATGATTTAATATCCTTGACAGTCGTGGAATACTGATTGATCGCAGGAGGCTTGACTGGATTAAAACCAGAAAGGTGGAACTAACTCTGCGTATATACCCAGGCACTTACAGGGTGCCACCGAGATCGATAATGCAGCTGAATACCCCAGGCTGGCTAATAATGCTAATAATGATCTGATGCCATATCGTATGATTTAATATCCTTGACAGTCGTGGAATACTGATTGATCGCAGGAGGCTTGACTGGATTAAAACCAGAAAGATGGAACTAACTCTGCGTATATACCCAGGCACTTACCGGGATCGATAATGCAGCTGAATACCCCAAACCCAGGGGTATGCAGTCAAAGGTGGTAGAGGGAGCTCTTTTGCCTCTGGATTTATGTAAGAAGCAATGTGAGGCAGCATATAAGAGGATGATTAGAAAAAATCAGCCTTCAGGGCTGTGACTACCCTCCCTCCCCAGCTTGTTTAAATCTCCCTAGCTGGCTGTGCAACCAGTGCAGATGTCAGTTGTTTATTCTGGTTTTCAGACTGCCGCGGTGTTGCAACAGCGGAAGTTCTTGCTACGCTCGCGTCATGTTTACTACTGTAGACTCACTAACTAACTCTGCGTATATACCCAGGCACTTACCGGGATCGATAATGCAGCTGAATACCCCAAACCCAGGGGTATGCAGTCAAAGGTGGTAGAGGGAGCTCTTTTGCCTCTGGATTTATGTAAGAAGCAATGTGAGGCAGCATATAAGAGGATGATTAGAAAAAATCAGCCTTGATAACTGCTGCACTGTAGAATCAAATCTGAAGATCAATCTTATCATAGAATCACAGAATGGTTAGAGTTGGAAGGGACCTCAAAGATCATCTATTTCCAGCCCCTCTGCCATGGGCAGGGACACCCTCCTCTACACCAGGTTGCCCAAAGCCTCATCCAACCTGGCCTTGAACACTTCCAGGGATGGGGCATCTACAACTTCTCTGGGCAACCTGTTCCAGTGCCTCACCACCCTCAGAGGGAAGAATTTCTTCCTTATATCCAATCTAAATCTCCCCTCTTTCAGTTTAAATCCATTGCCCCTTGTCTTATCGCCACATGCCCTTGTAAAAAGTCCCTCTCCAGCTTTGCTGTAGGCCCCCAAGTCACCAAGCTTGTGTAATAGGCTCTGAGTGAAGAAAGCTAAACAGATCATTTCTTGCTCTTCACCTTTTTAAGGCTGACCCTACTGTCTCTCCATGCATTGAACTCCTATTGCAGTAAACAGGAGCTCTGCATGGAAAGGAATCAACCCACTGTATATCAAATCTCCACCAATCATTGCTTCTCGTTAGGCTCCGAGAGCACAAGGTAATCCAAAGTTCCGACTTTTGTTGGAGCTTTGTGTCCAATCGGCTCAGCAGACTCAAGGCAGGAGTTGATCATTAACTGGATGTTAGTAAGGTAGTGATTGCTCGCTCAGCTGTTCCCTCCCATTCACAATTCTGTTCAGCCTTTCGGTGCGACACGCTACCAGTTGCTTGACGCTTCTCCCTGGAGCATTGGAATCCTCTCATGTGAATTCAAACACTCAACGTTACCTTGCAGCGCCCAGTTACTTAAAGCTTTCACTGTGCACCGACGACAAACTCAACCTTTACCCACAGTTAAAATTTACCCTTTTTTCTGCCCACAAACATGCAGTCTGTTAAAAATTAAACACTTACTTTAGTCGAGATTAAAGTGCAAAGTACTCTACGACTCACTCCTCATCCCTTGCAATAGTTTTGCGGCCGTTTAAAACTTTGCTGACTGCGCAAGGAAAATGGCTTCTTCGAATCCAGGATTTAATTCTCTTGCCTCCTGGGTCGTGTTTTTCCTGCTCCCGTGGACCTTTTCTGAAGGCGGAAAGCTTTTGGTTGTACCTATCGATGGCAGCCACTGGCTCAGCATGCGCCCGGTTGTGGAGCGGCTCAGACAGAGGGGACACGAAATGGTGGTGGTTGCGCCAGAGATAAACTTGCGGATAGACTCGTCGGTGCATTGCACCATGAAAACATACTCTGTGCCTTACACCAAGGCGTATGTGGAGGCAGAATTTAAAAAGCTGGGGTACAGCAGTTTCACACCTCAACCCTTCTTGGAAAAATTGTCCAAAATGGCAAATATTACAACCATGTTCTTTGAATCCTGCAAACGTCTTCTGTCTAACAAAGAGCTGATCGAATACCTGGAAGAAAGCAAATTTGATGCTGTCTTTATGGATCCTTATTTTCCATGTGGACAAATAGTGGCCGAACATCTCTCCCTACCTTCTGTGTACTTTGTACGGGGACTGCCGTGCAGCCTAGACTTCCACGCTACCCTCTGCCCAAATCCTCCTTCTTACGTTCCTAGGTTCTTCACTCGCTACACGGACCGCATGGCCTTCCTCCAGCGCGCAGGCAATCTCATAGCTAGCCTGAGCAGTTCCCTGGCTTGCAGCTTTCTTTATGCACCATATGAGCGTTTGATCAAAGAATTCCTCCATCAAGAGGCCACAGTGCTCCAGCTCTTTAGCCATGCGTCTATCTGGCTCATGAAATACGACTTTGTGTTCGAGTATCCCAGGCCCCTAATGCCTAACATGGTCTTGATTGGAGGCATAAGCTGCGCTCAGGAAAAAACATTATCACAGGTTAGTTACCTTTTTTTTCCCCTTAGTTGAGCTGTGACTGCACTGTTGGCTCTCGCCATGAGATGGAGCTCCCGGCAGGAACAAGAGGTGAGAGAGCAAAGTGGAAGTGGATAGGAAAGCACTTTGCACCTCTGCATCTCTTGTGCAATGAGGACTACCTTACTTGGCAGGAGACTTCTGGATTCCCAGATAAACATGCACAAAAAGCTGGGCTTTTTCTTTTTCTCTTTTTCCCCTCAATATTTTCTGGCTGCCTATTTCCAGTAATTTTGTTTTGTACACCTGTTTACAAGACTGGGTGCTAGCCGGGGTAATGCAGCAGACCAAATCACGCAGAGGACCGTTTCTGCAGGAATTTCAGACAGTGGCAGACCTGAATGAAATCCCTACCACCCAGTGAAGCAGCAAGAGATCTGCTTCTTTTATGTCAAATACTCTGTCCCAGGTCTGGACTGCACCTGTATTTTGCTCAAACTATGCCAGACTTCCTAAATATGGAATATCCGCCACTTTCCTCTACAAAATCCTCCTCATTCTTAGTGCTTTCTCCTATTTTTCGGTGAGTATCCACTGCATGTATTTCATAAAGGTGGTGTGTAGCACCCACCAAGACGAACAGATGCTATTTTAAAAGACTACTAAAATAACCTGCATATTCCCAAAGCAGGGCTGCAAAAAGTTTCCTCATAGTAGTGGCACTTCTGAGCAGGAACACAACTTCTGACCTTGGCACACAAAAACATTTCAAGAAGAGAGTAAAGCTGATGTGACTCGTCCCACAGAAAATAAATAGGGGTAAATACGTCTTGAAATAGCTGTATGTGTTCCACTGCATCAGGAACTGCAGGAAGCAAGTCAACCACTGGCCAAAGAATTTTGTATCAAAAGCACATTTGTAATTTGGAGAGGATTTTGCATTCCCAGATGTCTGTGAGTGAACAGAACTGAACCCTGAGTTCCCAACCAGACATCTATGACGCCTTAACGGAGAGCATGTCTTCGGAGAAATCTGGCAAGACAGAACTGAGCCCTGAAATTAGAGTTACGTTTCACCTTGTTTGCTCTCAGGACAGCATCAGGTCTGCTGTTCAGGGTGCAGGGATCACCAAACCTGCGATGGCTCCTTCTATTTGGGATCCAGTCTCAAGCGAAGGGCCGTGGCACTCTGGTCAGCTGCAAAAATACATAACAGAGCATAAACTAAGAGTCAGACTTGGTTATCCCCTCAGACCCTAGAGATAACATTTCAACTTCCAGACTTACAGGAACATTTAGTTCATTTTATTCCACTCGTTTAACTCTGATGCCTGCAACAATTCCCTCCAGTTTTGTCTTTCCTTCCCTGGCTTTACCAAATATTTTATTATGGCACAGGATTTTTGCTCCAGCCTTCAGCTGTTTTTCTGCTTCATCAGACACCTTTTGGTTTGGATTCCAGTGACAGATCTCCTAGTCCTTCTATTATTGAAGTCAAACAAACAAAACATTAAAAAACTGGCAGTGGTTCAATATTATCATACTCAAAGCAGACCCAATAAATCCAGATACTAGAAGTCAGAGCTATCTGCTGTCAGAACACTTTTCAAAACTCTTAACTCTCTCTTCCAGCTGCACGGTCTGAAAAGAAGAACATCAACTCTAAATGCAGAGCATCTGACTTGCAATAAATGTGAAAATAAACTGCAATGTATTCACCTGGGGATTGGTTGCCAGGAAAAGTATGATGATGAATTTATCTCCTTAATTGGTACAGCATCTTTTTTACTGCACAGAAACCCATGTCTTGGAGCAGGCAGGCTTTGCTACATGACTGTTTTAAAGTAGTTTTTTTCTCATGTCCGTACTGAATGTCGGTTCAGGCTTCAATTCTGCAAACCCTCATGCACCTCCATGACTTTGTTCGTCCATCTGTGCTTATTTCTTTTCCCCTGGGACTCACTTTCATATAGACAACTAATTTCTCTGATCATAATTTTGTTGTGTTGACTGCTGATTTTATTGCCTTTCCACAGAGTTTTGTGGGAACGTGACAGAAATTACAGCATACGACGTGGAAAGGACTTTGACTAAGGGTGTGCTTTGTGTTGGCAGGAATTTGAAGCTATTGTGAATGCCTCTGGGGAACATGGCATTGTTGTCTTCTCGCTGGGCTCCATGGTCTCCGACATTCCTATGAAGAAAGCCATAGAAATCGCCGATGCCCTGGGATCAGTCCCTCAAACGGTACGGTTTCCCTCTTCCCCTTTCAGCACAGCAATTCAACACTGTTTTCAAGTACAGTACATGATTACCTTCAGCTTTCAGCGTGCTTGGTCCTCCCTGCTTTCCCCTGCTCCCTGGTGCCGGAAGAAACCGTCTCTCCAGCTGTTCTGCACAACCAAACAGGTTTTGTGCACTATGGATGTTTTCAGCTGTGCTTCTCAAACCCACTGAGCAGCAGCAAGAGGCCAGTTGCTGAGAACTGATGTTGTGTTTTCTTCTCTTGAAAGGTTGTGTGGCGGTACACGGGAGAGGTGCCCCCCAATCTGCCCAAGAATGTAAAGCTCGTCAAGTGGCTGCCACAGAATGATCTTCTAGGTAGGTCTGAGGTACCTTGAGTGATACAACTGTGTTTCTTTTAATCCAGTACTACTGTTGTAAGGCCTCATTAGCATCAGGGAGGTGGTGGAGTCCCCATCCCTGGAGGTGTTTAAAAACCGTGTGGATTTGGTGTTGAGGAACATGGTTTAGGGACCCTAACAGTGCAGGGTGAATGGTTGGACTCGATGATCTTGAGGGTCTCTTCCAACCAGATGATTCTATGATCATCTGTGCTGACTCCCTGTATCGCTGTGGGTCACAGGGCTTCATTACAGCCTTTGCTGTTTGAACTGGAGCTCGTCTTTTAGAAACTTATCTGATTGCGACTTCAAAATTGCTGAATTATGAAACATCTCTGTTTGCAAAGGTGTTCCAACACTTGACTACCCTTACTGTCAAAAACGGGGGTCCTCATCTCTGACTAGCCAGTCTCAACGTCCAGTCATGAGTTTTTGTCATATTTTTGTCTACTGGACTGAAAAGAAAATTTAAGGTCCCCAAGTGAGCATTTCCAGACAGGTCGTTGGGCTTCTCAAGTGGTAAAATTGTATGTGCTATTGCCAGGAGTGCGTTTATTGGTTAGACAACAGGGCTTGGTTGTGGGAGATCTGCAAAACCAGCAAATGGAAGACACGGTAAAAAAAATAAGCAATGGTAAAATCCTTTTTAACCTCACTTGGCTCTGATTTCATCCTAAAATCTGAGAAGCTTTGGAGGATTATCCAAGACTTTCCAGAGATTACCCAAACCAAGACAGAGCTCTACAGCCCAAGGTTTGTCCTGTTCTCCACAGCCCTAACTCTGTCCATAAGTAATAATACACGACAGCCCAAAGTTCTTGATTTATACCTACCAGTGCCATTTTTGTGCAAGCTTTTTTTCCCCAGGAATGTGCTGCTGTGACTTAATAAATCACATAACTAAGCGAGTCTGTCCTTCCTCCACAGCTCACCCTAACACTCGTGCCTTTATTACCCACGGCGGCTCACACGGTATTTACGAGGGCATATGCAATGCGGTGCCAATGGTACTGATGCCTTTATTTGGAGACCAGATGGACAACGCCAAGCGAGTGGAGTCACGGGGAGCGGGACTGACGCTGAATATACTTGAGATGACTTCACAGGACATATCCACGGCCCTGAAAGCAGTTATTAACGATAAAAAGTCAGTAATAGAAACACAGCCTTTCACCTTCTGCTGTTGTGTAACACCAGCACGCTAGCTTCCAGCTTAACGTTGGGGGGCATCTCTCCCCTACATCTCTCATCTACACGCGTGGGGATGCTGAGGTGGTACAGGGAACCATGCTAGACATTCTAGGATTGCAGTCAGCATGCCCAAGGTGTTTTAAGGCATCACAGCCAAGGGGAGCTTTAAGACATACCCTCCTCTTCCTCACTCCCGTTCTCTCTTGTCACTAGAGCCTCTCAGTCCTCGGCGTCCTCTTCCCCACTGTGTCTCTGAGAAATGGCACCTTATTGCCATTGTTTCCTAACCATTCTTATAGCAATGATAATACTGCTGCTAATAATGCGTCTTGTTCTTCAGCTGGATGACTTTTCTACACCCAGTTTCACATTTCAGCCAGATACCTTCATTCTTCATCTCAGAAATTTTGCTGACAGCTCAAACTAAATTTTTCTAGTTCTTTTTCTAATACTTTTTCTCCTTTATTTGACATTGACAACGGTAATTTTCTGGGCCAATAACTTTGCCATTATCCATCTCATGGGGTGGGGGGGTGGAAAACATCACCAGAGAAGCCCTCAGTGGGCCATCAGACAACTGACACTGCATCCTTTTTTTCTGGGGACTCTGCCTCAGCAGCACAAAACTGAAAACACTGAACCTCTCTTCTTTGCAGATATAAAGAGAATATCCAGCGTCTCTCAGACCTTCACCTCGACAGACCCATCCACCCCCTGGACCTGGCCGTGCACTGGGTGGAGTTCGTGATGAGACACAAGGGGGCCCCACACCTGCGACCTGCTGCTCACGACTTGAACTGGATCCAGTACCACTCCCTGGACGTCTTCGCCTTCCTCCTCGCCGTGGTGCTCCTCTCTCTCTTCATTTCTGTGAAGTGCTGCCTGTTCTGCTGCCGCAGGTGCTGCTTTAAGAAGGGAAGAACAAGAAAGCCAGCCAAATCAAAGTCCCAGTAGCAGATGAAAGCAGAGAAGGCCTCTGCTCTAGACCAGAAGATCAGAGAACACGTTAAATTTCACTAAAATAATTGCTGACTTTCAGTCAAGAAATCATAACGTTCCTTTAAACTAGCACTGTGATGGAGGTGGTTTCACCAATATAATTTTTGCCTTTAATTAAGAATCAGTTGTTGAAAATCATTTGTATAGGAGTGCTTCAGTCACTTGGGAAGATATTAGTGGAAAGCCCAAGGCTCCTGGCTTCCACATCTTGGTGTAGAGAGAACTCAGGGTGACATATTTTTTTTTAACCTCTATATGCAATGGAGATATAGAGGGATTTCGTAAGTCTTTGCTTCAAGGGCTTTAGGAGAACCGTTTGCTCTAGTGTAAGACTGTCAGGTTTACCAAGCACTTTGAGATCTTTGTATAGCTTTGAGGCAACTGTTATGCACTGACAACACCTGTCACATACATAAGCCAAGCTAGGCACACATCTTAAATGGGTTTGTGTGTGTTTACAACACCCTGAACAAAATTAAGGTTTTGGCAGGGAAGTAGTTGTAAAGCCACTGGTGTTTCACCCAAGGCATTCCCCGTCAGGCAGAATGCTGGATCTGGAGTTTACCTGTTAGGTGATGAGACTTGTGTAAGCAATGTTTATAAAACCCAACTGATTTCCTCTTTGTAAATGATGTTCAGGTAAAGACCCAAACCCCAGCCCTATAAATAAATCTCCAATACTACTAATAATGGCTCTTGTGTTTTCTGACTTGAGAGGCACGGTGCTTAATGCTTGTTGATCACGGAGCGAGAGCTGGAGAAGGGAAAGACTCAACGCCCCACCTATCGTGTGAAAGCCACCTTAATGCACAAAAGCCAGTTCTCAGCATTACTGTCTCACTGCTTGATAACTTGGTCCTTGCTGAGGTCACATCCTGAGCCTGCCACAGTCCCACTACTACATACAGAAAAAAATGAGAGAAGACTTAAACATAAGTCAATATTCAGGGCTCGAAACAGGCCGGGGCATCCCAGTACGTCATGGCAGCACAGGTGTCCTATTAAGCACCCGGTGCTGTTATTTTCTATTGCTGTTTGAAAAAACAGGTACTTTCAAGAAGACAGCCCCTCTCCTCCTCAGCCTGGCCCCGTGGCAGTGCCCAATTCCCGTGGGCATCCACGCCACTTGCAACCTGGCCAGGACCATGCTGACTGTTGCTTTTCATCCTCTGCCTTTCCCTCCCCTCCTCTGCCCCTGGTAAAGAGAAAGAAACCCTTCTTTGGGACATGAGGAGAGTCCTCACAGTGCATATGAGGGGGACTTGCTTTTAAAATGCAGCTTTTGTGGCTCCTCTTGTTCCTGAAGTGACAGCTCTGGCTGTCCCAGCTGGAGCCAGGTGACAGCAGCGCATCTGTGCTTCTGAAAATGAGACCTAGCGAGACCTTGCAGTGCCCATCACACCCCCAGCCGTGGTGGTTTCAGTCGTCTCTGAGCACGGGCTTGGCTGCCAGCAGCTGTCTGATGCAAAAAGCACTTTAAAATGTCCTCATGAAGGTGTTGTCCGAGTACTCTGCTGCAAACAGGCTCTGGATCGATCCAGTGACTCTCTCTGCACAGCCAAGACAAAACCCTCTTAATTTCAGATCAGGTGAACAGAACTTAAAAAAAAATAAATTGTGATTATAGCTGTACAGGGTTGTTGTTTTTTTCCAACTTAAAACCTCTTGTGTAGGTGGAGGAAAGATGCTGAGAGAGAGGAAGAATCAAAATGCCCATCCCATGGCTTTCATTTCCTTTTGGAAAGATCTTTAACACAGCCACAGCGAAACAGAAACCAGGTATCCTCCTCCTCTCCTTTTCCCTTTGCTCTCCTTAGCCTCGACTACTTTGTCCTGCTCTTTATTTTCCCTTGGCTCACCGGAGAAATGAGGAGAGAGGGGCCCTGAGGGACACGTGGGGCCAGGACTGGACAACCATCACATGGTGCCCAGCAGAGGACACTCCGGTATTGCTAACAGGGAGCAAGGAAAGGCCATCCTGCCCGGCCAAGCCAGTCCAGGTGGGTCGGTGGAAGTCGGAGAGTGACTTGTTTACCCACCTGTGCTCCAGGAATACGGAGCCTGCTGCACGGAGATGCTTTTCAGAGCAAATTAGGGGCCAAACTGCATGGGACAAGCAGCGTCGGTGCAGAAGAGGGAGCCAAAAGGGCTGCAGCATCCCCACGACACAGCCTGCCCAACCCTTCTCCAGGGGAGAGTTATGCTGGGGATGCTGTCCCCCCTCACTGCCCCTTAATTGGGTGCCATACAGAGCCATGCTGCCCCTTACACAGGGGGAAAGCCCCAAGCCCCTGCTTCCCTTGCTGGGTGAAGGAGAAATTATCGGCCATGATGCGTTTCTAAGCAACAGAGCTGAAATCAGGTCACTGCCTAAAAAGGGGAAACTGAGGCAGCCCCAGTCATCACCCCTCTCCCTGAGCTGCACAGGCTCCCCATTGCCCCGGGGCTCCAGCTACTGCAGCCTGAGCTTTCCCAGCAAAACCTCCAAATCTCTCGTTTTTCAACACCTGCCAAAAGACAAGCAGCCAAAAGCCCTTGGCTGCCCTCAGAGAAGGGAGGCACCGGCACCTCCTGACTCCAGCAGCCTCTCGCCATCGCTGGGCGCTCACCTGGCACCCCCCTTTGGAGCTGCCAACGGAGAGGAGAGCTGCTGCTTTCTGCTCCCACCTGGGGACTTTTTAAGTGTTTATTTTATTCCAGCCTGGATTTTAACATCCAAGCTTGCAAGAGTAAGACCAGGGTTAAAAAAAAAAAAAAAGCAGGGGAAGCCAGTGCTGCTCCTGGCTCCTCTGGTGACCCTTGGACCCCCTGGCTGCAAAAAATGGGTGAGAACCGCTGGCTTGGGGCTGGGGGGCTCCTGGGGGACACAGCAGCCCCGGCTCTGGTGGGAGGGTGCAGTCAGCATCTCTTGCTGCTTCCCATCAGCCAGACCACGGGAAATGACAGGAATTGCTGACATTTTTCTGCAGCCACAGGGTTTCTGCAGCCTCAACCCAGCCCTTCTGTCCCCAAGGGCAACGTCGAGGTTTTTCCATTGCCACCAGAGCTCCAGGGGGCTCTTGGGCTTTTCTACCTTCCCAGCGTATGGGGCCGAGAGGATCCCCGGCCCATGGGGACACAGTGCTCAGAGGGGGACTAACCTCCTTGCAAGACAAGCTGAGAAGTTAAACATGTTCCTTGCTCAAGGGCAGAGCAAGAAAAAGCAGTGACCTGCAAACCAGCACTCCTTTCTCCTCCCCTGCACAGGGCTCCCAGGGCCAGACAGCCCCAGATGGTCCTGGTGCTGCTTCACCCCATGTGCTCTCATTTGGATGCTCACACTCAGACCTGCAATTACCGAACTGATTTTTTTTTTTTTTTTTAATCTATCTTTCGGGTAGCTTTGTGAAAAGTAAAT